ATGTGAAAGTAAAAGTCATTAATCGTCACAGAAATATGATGTCTTAATAATGCATTTCCTTCTACAAACAGGGGAACCCTGCCTATGAGAAATACATAAAACCACGGTTACAAAGTTGGAGAGCCAAGCTCTGAGAAATAACCAGCAGTACTCACGAAGCAGACAGCACCACTATGTGATCATGGTACTATGGCAATATATATAAAACTGTATTTTTTAATTACATTATATGCGTATGTACTTTTAAAGAGAGTCTTTAGCTTTTGACAACACATTCTGAAGTATTTAAGGATGAAAGTATAATATCTGTCATTTACTTCAAAATAATCCAGTGGGAGGAGAAAGCGGGAGTGAAATATTGTTGGTCAACAGCATGCGGTATCCATCACCTCCCACGGTAAAACCAGCACCCCTATCCATTTGTAGCATCTATTCTGTTAAATACCAGGGTTTTGCTTAAGATCTAGCAAAAGCCAACAGGCTCACTACTCTGTGTCTGTCTTTAGCACGCACACAGGTTCTAGGACTTAAAAGGACAAAGACCTGCACACACACATTCCTCCTCCCAAAGTTCCTATACTAGGTATAATCAACATAAAATTTAGGGCCCTAAGAATGCAACTGGAGCCCTGGTGGCACAGTGGTTAAACACTCAGCTGCTAACCAAAAGGTCGGCAATTCGAATCCACCAGCTGCTGCTTGGAAACCCCACAGGGCAGTTCCACTCTGTCCTACAGGGTCGCTATGAGTCGGAATCGACACGACAGCAACAGGTTCGGTTTTTGGTTAAGAATGCAACTAATATGAATTTTAAAAAATCAACTCTTCCACGATAAAAATGATCTAGAATTTCATTAATAACAGACATAATTTCTCAAACTGTCCATATAATCAAGCAACATTTTTCACATCATTTTCAACTCATCAAGTAGATAAAACACTCCAAATTAGATGTCAGTAGACAAATTAAATTGCAAACATCTCGGCTGGCTACCTTCCCAAATTCACTTATATAAGCAATCATTTAGTTGCTAATAATAAAGTAAACCTGAGAAAATCTACCAAAAGCAAACTTACCTCCATTAAACTGGGCAAGAAAAAGATCTCATAAATTTTTAAGTTCAAAAAATTTGGAGGAGAAAAGTGGGGTGCAGAACTCAAATTCTAGTAAAAAGACCAGACTAAATGGTCTGAGACTAGAGGGACCATGGAAGACATGGCCCCCAGACTCTCTGTTAGCCCAAAACTAAAACCATTCCCGAAGCCAACTCTTCAGACAAAGATTAGACTGGACTGTGGAACATAAAATGATACTCGTGAAGAGTGTGCTTCTTTGCTCAAGTAGATACATGAGACTAAATGGGCAGCTCCTGTCCAGAGGTGAGATGAGAAGGCAAAAAGGACAGTAGCTGGCTGAATGGACACCGGAAATCTGGGGTGGAAAGGAGGAGTCTGCTGTCACATTATAGGGAGAGCAACTAGGGTCACATAATAATGTGTGTATAAATTTTTGTATGAGAAACTAACTGTAAACTTTCATTTAAAGCACAATTTAAAAAAAATCAGAACTAGCATTATTCCCATTTCCATACTTGTTTTCAACTCCATTTTACTTCACATTCATCTCAGCTAACTCAACAATAATAATTGGTTGGTTTTTTAGGTAACCACCAATTAATTTGAAGGAGACAATTTTCCAAAAGGATAACCTCATATTAGTACAATGATTTACTAAAACCAGTCACCTGTCAATAACATTAAGGGATTTTAGTTTGAAGATGGTGAAGATGGGATAATTATAGGTTTCCAGATATTGGTTATTTGTCAAATCGTAAATTTTCAGAGAGATAATGGGCAAAAACGGATGTAGGTAAGTGTTCTCATCCCTGTTATGGGTTGAACTGTGTCCCCCAAAAGAATATATTAAAATTCTAACCTCTTGCAGTACAATGAATTACTTAATATGGCCCTTCTAGCCATAGTCTTTGTGACTTACACACAATGATTGAGTTTGACTATGCAAATAAGGTATCTATGGAACCCTAATGAGAGGACTGGTCAGTTTTGCCATCCCGCTAGGCTTAAAATAAGCTGTTCCAGAGGAGGGAGGAGGATCTCACCACCACCAAGGAAGAAGAGCCAGGAGTGGAGTGTGTCCTTTGTACTCGGGATCCCTGTGCTGAGAAGCTCCTGGAACCAGGAGATCAAGAGAGGGAAAGAGACCAAAGAGAGAAAGACAGACAGAGAGAGAGAGAGACAGAGCTGTAACACTGAGGATGGCGAGAAGCAGTAGCAGAGAAACAGCAGCAGCAGAGGCAGAAGACTAGCAGGAGACAGTGTGGTAGGCTAGGAGACCATGGAGTGAGAAAGCTGAGCACGTTCAGGCAGGAGGCTTGCTGGCGGCGGACTAGGGTGCCTACAGGTACTTGGTGGAGCTAGGTTTGCCAACCCAGGGAGCTAGAGCTGACTGCCTTCAAGTGGAGGCTTACTGGCAGAGTACGGTGTCTCGAGGCACTTCTCTGCAGAGCTAAAAGAGCTTTGTAACACTTGCTTAAGCCAGGCAAAGGCGGAGGGTCAGAGAGAGGCATGCCTGCAGGTACGGATGAGAAGAGGCTGTCCGGATGGAAGAACTGTATCCTGAGCATTCCTGAACCTGAACTGTAACCTGTTACCTCCTTAATAAATCCATAATCATGAGCATTGTCTGAGAGTTCTGTGTGGCCATTGCAACGAACTATCAAACCCAGCAGAGAAGAGAGAGTGCCATGGGAGGGACAGCTGGTGTCAGAATTGGTAAAGATGGTGGAGAGAGGAGGTGTGTCTGACCTCTCCCTCATGGGAATCAGCCTTGGGCTGATCTTGATTCTCCTTTCCTCTTGTGAAGTTAGAGGTCAGACACCACCCCCATGCCATTTTCACACCTTTGCACCTACCACCACCACCAACAACCTATATACCTAACAGTGTGACTTATTTGGAAACAGGGATTTTCTTTTTTAACAGTTAAAGTAAAGGAGGTCATACTGGAGCAGAGTGGGTCCAACTCCTAATCCCTTCTGGGTGGTGTTTTGTAAAAGGCAGAACAGACAAGGGAGTATCTGAGCCAAAGAACACCAAGAACCGCATGGGGCCAGCAGAAACTGAGAAAGACAGGAAGGAGCTTCTTCCCCTGAGCAGACAGCATAGCCCTCCCACGCCCTGAATTCGGACTTCTAGCCTCCAGAACCGTGAAAAATAAATGTCTGTTCTTTAAAGCCACCCACTTTGTGCTATTTTGTTATGGTAGTCTAAGACACAGACACCCTCCTTTCAGAAAGAGAATCTCAGAATCTACCATAGACATAAGGAGAAAAGGAGTAATCTGCCCCAGAGCATACAGCCTCAGAGCTCCACTTGTTCCTTAGAAAACCAGGGAAGAAAATTACACGACTTTCTTTTAAAAGGTGTTCTAGCAAACTAGGAAGATTCATTACAGTTAACAAAATCCTTCCTTTGAGTAATTTTCAAGAAACAGAATCAAGTGAGCTATGCAAAAGAAGACTACGGTGAAATAAATAACAGCACATATATTTCTTGAACTGTTCCAGAACCTTATTTCACTGTAAGTTTATTTCTTCTGATCAGAAATAAACTTAACTTTGATAATAAAAAGCATTTGTGAGTCTCCACAATATACCAGAGTGGCTAAAGAGTCAATGCATTCCTATACTTAGCACAAAGCTGGAATCAGAGTCAGATTCAGAGCTGACAATTGGTGGCTTATTGAGGAAAAATCTGTAACCCTCAACATAAGTCCTATTTGAAAAATATTTGTCAAACTATATGTTCATTGTTCAAATATGTACTCTTTTAGACAATATGAATATTTTCATCCTTTCTGCTTAAATGACACAGCAGAGTTCTTATCAACTGTAAGTAACCCACGGGTCTAAGAGACCTCTCAAATCAAATGCAAATGTGCTATAGACAGTATATATCAGAATATAAAACAATGCATATTTTAGATAAGGAAAATGATTTCCCCCTTAAATAATAATAAGCAATGAATATAAACCTAATTTTCATATTTTACTTTTTTATTAGCTTTTTCCTGGTAGACAGTACACTTGAGAATTATACTGCACCAGGCATTAAAAAGTAAGATTTCTACCACAGGGACATTTTGTATTCAGAATCCAATATAAATATTTCTAGTCAGACATTTCCATGGCTACAGATATTTGGTTGCTTGATTTATATGCATAGAAAGAAACAGTTGTCATAACTGTAAAAAGCAGTACTTAACAAGTACTTTTAAATGATTGGAACAGTTTTCCTTTAATATTACAACACTGTTTATTGGTCTGGAAACTAAGTCACCCTCCATGATGTTCTGACTTTTCTTAAAGGCATCATCAGTGCTCCGCTTATCCTTTCACTGCTCCATTTTTAACCCTCTAGGTGAGTCAGGGACCATTTAATCACAAGCCATTTTAGCACTGCAATAAAACGGCTCTGTCCCAGGGCAGATTATACACCATGATGGTCTGCACACGTCTTCTTATAAAAAAGGTATCTGGGGACTGAGCAGGCACATGCATACTCAGGATGGAAGAAATCGAACACGGAGTCTGCTAACGCACACAACTTCCTTCCTGGTCCTCAAGGCTTCAAATAAATACAAATATTTAAAAAAAAAAACCCACACTGTGATTCAAAAAAAAAAAAAAAAAATCAGTCTCTTCCATGTCCTGGAAAGTCCGTTACCAGGAGCTTCTCCCAGGGCAGAAGCTCAGTCATCTGTCTTCCGGGCCAGTCGACAGAAAGTCCAGTTGTGCTCCACTGTGTTCTCATTGGCCCGCTCACTCATGTGATGCACTCGGGTGTTGCGAATCGTGAACCCTTGCTTTGTGATGTATTCCATCAGATGCACCCGGAGAGAAACTTCCTGGTGATAATCACAGGGTCCAAAAGTAAAGGAAACCTGGCAGTCTCTGGTGTCCATCATGTGCTTGTTCCACTTGGTAAAATAGTTTGAGATGCCTTCTAGTAAGGAGTGGACCTTTGTGGTGATGGTTAACTGGGTTATGATGACAGCCACGGGATTGGAGTACTTTGAAAGCTTCCGGGTACTGGATAACTCCACAACTTCTTCAAAAGTATCCATAGGATACAAAGGCTTAGGGTCATTGAGACACTGAATCAAGGGCTCAATCTGATAAAAATCTGCTTCTTTCCGAAGTAGATCAAATTCCTTAAAATCCAGGGGTAAGGTCAACTCTGAAGTTCTTAAGAAGTTGAGGACATATCGGAAAAGAGGTCCATCTCGATCAATGAAGTAATTGCCTTGAGGGTCTCGGGCTGTGGGGAAGTCCCCCCCAAACATAGCTCCAAGCATGGAATCTGGATAACGAGTCAATGTGGTGAGAGACGTTGTATACAAGTGTCCACCTACATTTAACGTGACTGGGTCAGTCATCTGAAATTTTTTAAAAAATGATCAGTCATCTGAAAATATTTTGGAAATCCTAACTTTAGACAAATTAAGAAAATTAATAGTAATGAGCAAAGTAAAAGATTCTTCCAGGTTATAATGTATTTAGCAATCCTATAATCCTATAGGGTTGCTATGGGTTGGCATCTACTCGACGGCAACGGGTCTGGTTTTTTTTTTTTTTTGGATAATGCTAGTAATGAAATAGCTTGACTTCAGTGATAAACCCACCCAGATAAAGAGATCTAACATCTACTTTCAATTTGAAAAAAAAAAAAAGGGTAAATCCAGTTCTTTAAAGACTTACTCAAAGAACAGAGGTATGTACTTTCAGAGCCATTTAATTTCAGGCCCAGTATCTAGACAGAAAGGAGCCCTGGTGGTACAGTGGTTAAGCACTCAGCTGCTAACCAAACGGTCGGCAGTTCAAACCCACCAGCTGCTCTGCTCAAGAAAGATGTGGCAGTCTGCTTCCGTAAAGATTTATGACCTTGGAAACCCTACGGGGCGGTTCTACTCTGTCCTACAAGGTCACTATGAGTCAGAATCAACTCACTGGCAATGGGTATCTAGGGAGAAGTTTTTAGGTCAGAGTATATTACAGGAAGGGAAAAACCAAACACCCAAACCAAACCCGCTGCTGTCAAGTCAATTCTGACTCATAGTGACCCTACAGGACAGAGCAGAACTGCCCCAAAGGGTTTCCAAGGAGCAGCTGGTGGATTTGAACTGCTGACCTTCGTGGTTAGCAGCCGTAGCGCTTACCCACTACGCCACTAGGGCTAAAATATACTCAGTTTTCTTAACTCACTTCAACATAAGATAGAATAAAAATGATCTGGTAATAAAAAAAACACCTACTTTCAACATTTCTTCGTTTTTTCCTCTCAAAAAAGGGAGGAAAATCATGAAATTTATTTTAAAATAAAAATTTGTCAGGCCTGATGGAAAAATTCAGAACCGTTAATGGTGATGGTTGAACAACATGATAAACATATTTAATATCACCGAACTGTACACGTGAAGACTGTTAAAATGGCAAGTGTTTTATTATCTATTCACTTACCACAACTAAAAAAAGGAAAAAATTGTCAGGCCTAATCTCGGTAACTTTGTCATGGAAGTAATATATTTGAATACTAAGTTAAAATGCACAGTTTAGTCAATATATCCTAGCTACAAAACCATCATATGCCCAAGGCTAGCAGCAGCTTTAAAATTTTGTAATCTCATAGTACATTCACTTTTGAAACTTTAGTGTTGCAATCTGGCCTTTAATTTTGAGAAGCAGTCTTTAAATAACATACACTTTTGGTTTTAAAAATCATATTTAAAGAAAAAAAATAGAGACAGGCAGACAGACTTTAGGTACTAAGCAAATAAAGTGCCAGAGGAACAGAAAACACAGAGAGAGAGACGCAGAAGGGAGGAGAGGCCCCTTCTCCAGCACTCATCTCCCTAAACACAAGAGCATCTCCTCTGTGCCCTTACCTGCTGTTGCTGTTGTGTGCCATCGAGCTGATTCTGACCCTTTCAACAGTCACTATTCCATGAAGGAAAGTTTTAAGAGCAATATACTTTAAAGACCAAAAATTCATAGTATCTTTCAAATTAAGTGAGTATAAAAAGCTACCTGGAGAGTTCATATTAAGTTTATGTAAGTATACCAGGAAAAAAAAAAAAGCACCCCAAATATACATCTAAAGTAATTAGACAAGTGGGGTTATTCAACTTCCTAATTTTCATTTGAATTAGTTATACCTAAAGATACACAAAAATAACTTGCCAACCTTCAAAATGCATCTGTGAGGGTTACTTACCATATAGCCCCAGTCTCCATTATCCATCTGCTCCAGCACTGCGTCACTGGGAGCCCAGATTCCAGGGAAGCTTCGGGAGGAGAAAAATAGACAGGTGATAGCATGCGTAATCGTGAAAACAAGAGCAGAAAGGTTTTCCTACCTAACAGAGCAAGCCAAACACCAGAAAACCACTTATCTTTGCTCAACTAAAACCTTCTCTAGGGCAAAGATCCCGGGAGGGGAAGAAAGCCTTCCCCCAGGGATTTCTACCAGGTCTTCTCTCCTACAAGGACCACGAGCCCATTCTGAATAATAGCTAAGAGGCTGACATTCTTTACAAAGAGAAAGAACCATCCTATACACAGAGGAGGAAGAGCCTAAGAAATAAACCAGTCATTCAAATTCTACCTATCTTCTCTTAAAACACAATTTTTAGGGTCTCTATAGGAGAACGGGAGCCCTGGTGGCGCAGTGGTTAACAGCTCAGGCTGCTAACCAAAAGGTCGGCAGTTTCAATCCACCAGCCGCTCCTTGGAAACCCTATGGGGCAGTTCTACTCTGTCCTGTAGGGTCGCTGCGAGTCCGAATGGACTTGACGGCACACAACAACACCACAGGGGAACGTGATGATACCTCTATAATCCTATCCTGGGACAAACCTATAACGAGATGGTCCTTATCAAAAAGGGCATTTACGAGAAAGGGAAAAGTTTCCATTAGCATTTCAGCCATACAAACTAAACATCTCAGTAAAGGTATTAAAAATCATTCATAAACCTCCCAAGACAACGTTTTCATTTTCCAGGAGGAATACATCAAACTAGAATTTTTTACAGCATAAAAAGTTATACTTTTAATAATGATGTATTTCACTTTGTACGATAATCAAAACAAATAGAAAACACTTTAAATGCCAAACCATTAGAGCAAATTTAGGGCAGAAAGAACCTTGCAAATCTGGTTGAGAGTTACCAGCTGGCACTTATGGAGAGCCTGCCTGGAGACACTGATAAACACCCAGATACTAATGATGCCAGTTTGAATTTATTTTTATCGACAATTCAAAAGCACTTAAACAAACAGTTTCTCAGCTAGTGAATTGCTTTAGTCAGTTCCCTCTCCCACACTTCATCTCCCGAATCAACGTGCAAAGCAAACTGTAGAGTAAATTTCAGAAGCTCTGGCAGAAGATGGTAAGAAACATGGACTTCTCGGTATTCATCCAGGAAAAGTGTTTGCTTTTTTAACGTGGTCTTTGAAAAGCTCTACTTTTCCCACTTTTAGAAGAATCTGGCACACAACTCCCAGAACAGGCCCTGGCCATAGGAGATCACAAAGGCTCTTTCTCAAAAGGTCACTCAGGCATGTAGAGAACATTTGCATAGCACAGCAGGGACTGAAATCAGAGCCCGGAGCATCTATTTCTCCACCTTGCAAATTCTTCAAAGCAAACAAGCTAAAACGTGGACCAGACAAAGTGGAGTCAGTTTTTATTCCCCACACTCAGCAACTGGAAATAGATAGGCCTCTACATGCTATGGGGTGAGAAATGGAACAAATGTCAAATTCAGGGCTGCTGCTACAACCTGTCGGTTCTCTGACTTGCTTCACAAACAGTATTTGAAGTAAACAGAACCAAGAAACAGGCTTAGCCAATTTGTCTTGCAAGCATCTGATTCAGTTACCGATATGAAACAGATCCACGACTGAGCGATTTGAAAGGCCAGCCATTCAAAAGTTCTGGTAAAATGTTCATCTCTGGCATCCTCCCATCACCCAGAGTATTCATTCTGGGCAGACTCAAAAATAATTCATTCAACCAACATCTATTGTAGGTCAACTGTAAGAAGGAAAACAAAAGCCTAGGAGCAATGTGGATGCCCAGAAATAGGAAAAGGGGCAATTCTTGCCCTCCGTGGAGAAAGACAACATGCAACAACTGAAGGACAGAACTCGAAAGCGCTATGGGTGGTGAAATGGTTAAGAACTCAGGCTGCTAACCAAAAGGCTGGCAGTTCAAATCCACCAGCTGCTCCTTGGAAACCTATGGGGCAGTTCTACTCTGTCCTATAGGGTCGCTATGAATCAGAATCAACTCGACGGCAACAGGTTTGGTTTTTGGTTTTTATACGATAGATAGAGAAGCCCTGGTGTGCTGTGGTTAAAGTACTCAGCTACTAACTAAAAGTTCAACAGTTCGAACCCACTAGCCACTCCACGGGAGAAAGATGTGGAAGTGTGCTTCCATAAAGACTGACAGCCTTGGAAACTCCATGGAGCAGTTCTACTCTGTCCTATAGGGTCGCTATGAGTCGGAATCAACTCGCGGGTAATGGGTTTGGGGTCACACAACAGATGGACCAGCAGAGGCCTGTGGGAGGAAAGAGGAAGAAAAATTCCAAATGGGAAAAACAGAGAAAGAGCTCACTCAGTTGAGTCCCAAAGGGAAGTTGGAACAACCTGAGAAGGGATTATGAAATGAAGAAACAATTTAAGTATGGACAGGGCATGAACGTTTTTTTCCCACATCTCTGGTACAGTAAGCAGAGCATAAGCATGGATTACTAAGAAACAGAACAGACTGACTTGCTCAAGGCCCCACAACTGGGAAGTAAATGAATCAGAACTTGGGTTTTCTGATTCCTAGTCTAGATCTTTCTGTAAGTCTCCTCCTGGGGTAGAAACTGAAAGACCTGAATCCAAGAAACAAGAAGTTCAAAGGGTCAACTTTAGTTTCCCTACAGCCATCTATTAACCCCTATCCACCCTAGCAGGGTTTTATTTACAAATTTATCAGTAACTCAGTCTATGTGAGTAGTCATAATAGGTTTATAAAAATTTCCCCAAGGCTAAGAAATGGCAGGAACCTACTTACTAATGTGATTGATGGCTGCTGTCCTCTGTATTAAGTGACATGAAGAACTCCAACCCATGAATATCTGATTGGTTAAATGAGAAATGAGAAACCAGAGACAAGGAAAAAAACAGACATCATCAATGTTACAGCTCTTATACAAGGCCTGTCCACTATTAACCTTTTTTTTCTTTTTCACTGCTAAATCAAAACAAGATAACTTCTTGAGCAGTGATAGAAAGAAAATTAGATGATGCCTCTGTATCTGCTCCACAGCAAAAGGCAAGGTTCTGGAACAAAGATATAATGAAACTTCAAGCTTAATAATTTAGGAAAGCAATTATGGAGTCTGTATGAGTCCATGCATCTTAAAAAGCACCCAAAAGACTCCCTATGTTTGTGCATGAGACACATCAAAATATACTTCCAATAACAATGACTAAACTTTACAAAAACAGACCCTGAAGAGGAAATAAATAGTATTGACTGGTTTAAATTTTATTTCAACTTACAGAAACAAACAAACCAAAAAAAAGCCGAAAGATTCCTGGTTATCCAGTAGCTGGGTAATCAGTCTCTGAACTGATGACTATTGGGAACAGTTCAAGAGACAACTCGGATGAGTGAAATAAAACATAATCCAAAAGAATTTCCGGAATAGCTTCAATTTTTTATACTAAATTATTTTCCAGAGCTGCTAACAATTAGAAAATGTCATTTGCTTTTCATCTTCTCTCCCTTCTGGCACAGTGTCCAGTGGAGGGCTTAATGAGAAGATAAACGAACACAAGAGGCAACAGAGGGAAGATCCTGAAGTGGGCATCAAATGGGCCTGTTTTACTTGGTGATGGCAATGAAAACTCTACTATTTCAGAAAATTTGCCAGGAATGGAGACTGCGAGGGTAACAAGGAAAAAAAAATGTCCCTTGTAGTGCCTTTCCTTACTAAAGATCTTTTTAAGAGTGAATGCAACTAAGCAGCAATGATTACAAAGTTCAAAGGAAGGCTTTTGACCCTGAAAAATTGGCTCACCTGAAAAGATCTGTGTCTGCAATTCTGACCCGCGGCGCAAATAAAAATTCCTGTGGAAACGACCGGCTGACCTTCCCAAGGAATATAAAGTGGTGCTGAAGGTTTACGTTTCATAGGTTAATTACAACTAACATAAATTCTGACGGAGTAAATGTTAGCAGGTAATTAAGGAAAATACATACTGAAGAATGTAAAAGCAATTGTGAGAAACTGTCTAAAGTAGCAAATTTGAAGAATGCACAATTCAACACGTTAGTAACTTAGACAGTAACCGAGAAACTCCTAAAAGCCATTCTCCTCATTCCTGCAGAATTGCAATGACCAGCTTTATGGTTACAAAGAATCAATTTAACACAAATATTCTGGGTTTATCATTTGTGCTACAGACTAAGAATTCCCTGGGGCAAAATTCCTACTCCTATATAACCTATGCCTGACAATACACACCTCCAAACTTGAATAAATAAAAATAAAAACTCCTCACTACCGCCTTCCCAAGTTTCCAGATAGCCCTTTAAAAGCCCTTCTACTGAAACTTTGGGGTCTGGCATTCAGAAGAGAAGACTCAGATAAAGTCACCCCTAGCTACACATACTTCAGTGACCTTTGTGTTGAGTTTCTCTGTTCTTGAAACGTGGGAGTTTGAAAGTGAAACACTTTTTATAGTAACTAGTTCAGTGACATCTAAAGGATTTTTGGGCTAACCTTCACGCACAGGCGGGCACAAGTAGCCAGGAGTACACGGAGAATGAGATCACAGTGTAAGTTATCCTTAGCCATACCACTGCAGAAATGGATATCTTTCTAAAACCAATTCTTTTTTTTTTTTTTAATATTTTATTGTACTTCGGGTGAAGGCTTCCAGAACACATAGTTTTTCATGAAACAGTAGTACACATGTTGTTTTATGACATTGGTTAACAACCCCACAAAATACTAACCCTCTAAATTCTCAACCTTTTTTTTTTTTTTT